ATAAATAAGCAATCAATATCATAAAAAGGCGGTTAAGAGATCTTTACACTTACGTCGTCTTCCATGAACCCCTTACAAATATACCAATACACAATCTCTTAAGCATGAGAGTTTGAAAATGACAAACTGATTTAATCTTGTACTCCCCCTCTTACATGGATGAATCCCTCATGTATGAAGCAAATCCCTCATGCATGAGTGAGTCCCTCACATGTAAGGCTTTGGGATGACTCTAGGACATGTCTCTAAGTGAAAACGATGTGATCCACACTAGTTGAGGGATTTTGAATGTCAATTAACCGAAAGAAATCAAACTCCATTCAATTGAGGGAAATTAAAACATCACTTTGGGAAAGTGCGTGTCAGATTAAATGCAATTGATGACGGGTCTTAAATCATCTTTCCTTCACAGTTCTATACTTTTTCCCCCTTTATGAGTCTTAAATTAATGATGTATTTATATGCTTCCGATTTATCTTTGTGGATTACTTCGTAACATGGCCTTAGTTGTTATTTTGGAGAGCAAGGGCTTTTTCTCAGGGTACTAATATCACTAGGGTGACAAGGATTCCTTCGTAGGGTTCCAATATTTATGATCGCGTCAAGGTACCGCAAAGATTCTTTCGTGGGGGACCAGTGTGTGTAATCTTCTCGGGGGGAGGAAAGGATTCCTATTTGAGATTTCAACACGTGTAATCATCTTAAGGGGACAACACAGATTCATGTATGAGGATCCAACATGTATAATCACCTCGAGGAGAGATAATGACTCCAATACAAGGATTCTACATTTCTGATCACCACGTGAAGTGACCTAGATAAGATCTTTTTACTCTTTAATTCCATGCAAATAAAGTAATAATAACCCAAATTCATATAATAAACTGAGGGTCTCATTAAAAACCCTTGGACCAGGTCAACAACACAGGGGAAAAAATGCTTTCATAAACAAAAGAGTGTCACCAAATTATTCTTATAACGACATAGATTATAACTCGCCTCAATAAGACAAAATAATAAACAAAAACTAGTCTAAACTAAATGAAACAGGGTCAAGCGCCCTAACAATTATCATCATTTGAGAAAACATCCTTTCATGTATCCTTCGTCTCTACTTAGTCTAGAGTGGCCATGTCCTTATTCATGAGAAAGTCCTTTAGTGACTTGTCCCCCAACTTCATACTAATGGCTTTCATGCCCATGGTCTTGATCTTGTTCAACTTTAGGTTCTCTACATAGCATTTATGAAGATTTCCTAATCTCCCTATATAACCCCGACTCGTCCATTTGAGAGCGGGCACTTCATACCATAGATAAAATTTAGATCGGGGGTTCCCAACTGGTTAAAGGTGGTCTAATATATAGTAATTTAATATGAGGAAATCACATCAATGATAAGATACCTTGCCTTAATTTTCCCAACATTTTCTTACACTTAAAAGATAGCCTTCAGTGTTTTATAACCTTTCACATGCACTTGTTCGCCCAAAAATTCCACCAACGATCCTTGGAAGGGCTCGATATCATCTAAGTCTAGGTGAAACCTCTCAAACGCATTTCAGTTGAGGATGTTTATAGAGATTCTTTGATCAATCAAGACTCTCTTTATTTCTCAATCATCACATCTTACAATTATGACTGTGGGATTGTTATTATGTTGGTGGATTCCTGTAGCATCCTTTTCGCAAAAGGCTATCTCAACTTTTGGAGCTTCTAACTCCCCTAAATCAAAACTGATGGGTGAGCCTTCTATGGTTAGGATTTGGCGATCATATATTTTATGGGTGAAACTAGTCTCTCTTCCCCCGTCGAACCCTCTTGCGATTGTATTAAGAGTATGACAGACAACTCTATTATCGCCCATACTTGGTTCTTTTCTGTTGGGTCATCATGGAGAGCATTCACATTGGGTCAAGAGCAACAGACAAGTGAAAAAGACACCACATATTTACCCAAAACCTTAAGGTTATAGGTGTATGGATCATCTCACTTATAAAGTGCTCAACCTCCACTTTTCCAAACAATGTGAGACTAAAAACTCACACTTGCACATAACACTTTTCCTTTTTAGATCCAAGACTTCTAGAGGCATGCCTTCCCTTAGAGATATATTTGTCTGGCCCTTGAGAAGAGTCATCATTGACATATTTCTTTAGACACCCTTCTTGGATCACACGCTCTATCTCCTCCTTGGAATGATAGTAGTTCTCTATATGATGTCCCTTGACTTTGTGGAACTTGCACCACCTTTTAGGCTCAGACCCTGTGACGTCTGCCTTTGGAGATGGTGGTTGGGGGATGTTATGCATGTGGAGGAGTTCTCACCATATCTGCTTTCAACGAGTGTTTAGAGGCGTGAAGCTCTTGATGAGCTTTCCATTTTGATAGAATATTGTCATATCTTTGACGGGAAATGCATATTGAATCCTTTTTGATTTATATGTATTAGAGGTGCGCTCTTGCACATATGGAACCTTTCTTTTTAGCATTACTTTCTTCATCTTTGATGTAACATTTCTCCCTCGTCACTACTTCAACCAAGGACATCGTTGGCCTTTAGGCGAGATATTCGTTGAGGTGTCCTTCTCTGAGCCCATTATGAAATGCTCGTACAAATATTTTCTGGTTTGGATGAATTACCTTTACTATTGCTTCATTGAAGTGGACGAGGTATTCCCTCGGAGATTTAGAGGGACCCTGGTAAATGTTGAATACACTGGTGTTGTAGCCATCTTTCTATGTCTGCTTTCTGCAAACCGGTGAACTAGTTTCTTAACTAAGTCTTGATAGCTGGTGATGGAAAGTTGAGGTAAGCCCATATACCACCTCATGGTTGTGTTTCTGAAGATGCCATAAAGGATATTGTATTTCAAGGATTCATGGGCTCCAATGATGGTCATCTGTGTGTTGTTGGAAGCGACATATTCATATGGGTCATTGCACCAATCGAACTTAGCCAATGAAGGTGGCTTAAAGGTATCTGAAACGGGCATCTCCCATATCTTGCCTGAGAAAGGTTGGGAGTCAATCATCTCCAGCTCATCTCTAGGGCATGTCTTCTGCTGGCGCTGCTAGATATGGAGGACATTATCCTCCAAGGTTTGAGTTTAGTGACGTAGATCGTCCATAACAGTGTACATCTGTGTTATGGTGCTTTCTTTACCTTCAGATTTTTTGCTAGTCGGAGTTATTGTCTTTTTGTTCACCGTGATGGTCAAAGAGGTTGAGCGCGAGGACAACAATAAAAAATGTGTTGTTATGGTGGTCCAGATCTGTTTTATCGGGTCCCGCAATGGGTGTTAATCGTAATTGTTAAAAGCATAATACATGAGAACCCCTATTGATTAAGGGTTGTCTGGGTTTTTTGAGTATGTTGTAGCGTTTAAGGTTAACTCACGTAAGGAGGGTGAGAAGCTTGGTGAATGTAATTTTTGTATAAATATCTCATTGTCCCCTCCCAACTTCATGATTAAGATATTAATAGTCATATTGACTTTGGATCCTATACCCCTTGGGGATAGCAACTGCTTATGAGAAAATGTGAAAATGGATAATTAATATTGTGCTATTCAAGGGAGTGTGGTTAACTTTCCTACAACTCCTTCTACATCATAGTAGATCATGAACAGGTCATTTTCCTATTCCTATGTTAGGTGAGTCATTTCAAAAATATAGACGACATATTTAATAAAAGAACGACACATCCAATAAATTGGCGTCAATCTTGTAAATAAATGAACATGAGAGCTTTGTGGCAAGACGGCTCGTCACTATGTCGTCTTCCACTAACTCCTTACAAATATACCAATAAAAAATAAATATACCAAACACTAAATTTGGTACCATTTATAAAATTTTCATTTTGATGTTGAGGTTTGTATTTATTGTTTTAAGAAATCAAACTCAAATTTAGTGCCATTTGCCAAATTTTCATTTTGATGTAGAGGTTTGTATTTATTGTTTTAAGGAATCGAACTCAAACTTATTTTATTTATCTATTTTTCTATTTACTGTCTATTTATGAAAAGTATATCAATTACTTCTATTGTAAATAGAGATAAATAAATATTGCAAATCTAGCTCCAATGCAAAACCAAACTATAACTAGATTGAACATGATTAATTTATATACAATAAAGAAAAACAATCACATAAAATTTGTGATCAAGTGATACTCATGCCTATGGATACACAATTTAATTTTTACTCCAACCCTATAATGGATATGTGGCTGGCATATAGGTATGAAATTAAAGTGGGACCTAAATCATAATCACCAAAGAAAAAATTAATACGACTAGACTGCTAAGGACATTTGATTCTCAGCTTCATGATTAAAAGTGTTATGTTTTTTGAAAATTTTTATACACATCCATGGCTCACACCATTAATTCATTTCATCACAAGAATCACTTTATATATAGACACATTTTGAAAATAAATAAATATATCAATGATATTATATTTTGAACCAATCATGGTCCCCCACCAAACATTTACGTATGCTCTGCTACAAATCTTAGCACTTTATGCAGATGTTTAATCTTGTGTCGCAGAAAATTAAACAAACAATAATTTCACCAACAACGCGATTGCGTAAAGACTTTCACAATTTATTTTGATGTGAATTAACTATAATTTATTTTTTAACATAAAAATGATAAATAATAATATCGGTATGGCTTCGGCTAACCATTTAATCGTGGTCACATTAGTGCTTGTTTATCTAAAACCTTGAATTTCACTATGTAAATACATCAAGAGTTATAACACAATATAACATTTCATGATCAAATATATATAATATATGAAGTTAAACTACATTCTCTCATCATCAATATCAATATTATATATAATCTCAAACCTAAACTTTCATATATACATCTATAAACTTGCCAAAAAAGACTTATATAGCACAAAAAGTGCTTTCAAAATGAAGGAAAAAAATAGAGAAATTTAGAGAAATAGATGTGGATTTGTTGTCTCTTCAGATGATGAACTTATCTGTTATGTAGAGGATTAGGACCGGTGTAAACTTTTCTCTTGTCATCACCAAAAACTTGATCTTCATTTTTGTTCTTCCCTTGAAAGTTTAAGTCACCATGGAATTTATATTTTGACTTGAATGGTTCATCTTTGAATCTGTCAAATCTTGCTTTGTTGCTACCACTTGCATCACATGGAGCATTGCTTAGTAGTAAGAGAAGGATCAAAAGAAGGAGAAGAAGAAAAACAAGACATGTTTTTTGGTTCTTGCTCTTGACACTAATCATGGCATGGAAAAAAAGTGGTGTACAAATTCTATGCTTTGTGGTTGGTTGGTTGGTTGTGAGAGATGGAGGAGTTGAAGGCTTTTGGTTTTGGTTATGAAATCAAGAAAAGAGAAGAGACTTTTTGAGTTTCTTTTTGTTTAGGAGAGCATGGGAATTTGGAAATGAGCAAAGTCAATGGAAGGAGGAGAGAGGCCAAAATAATGCATAGAAGTTGATGCTTTGTAATATAGAAAATGTTTGCTACAAATTTCAGAGCCAAGTTTTTTTGTTTGATGAGGGAAAATGCATTAAACTATAGTCTCTTTTGGGAGACAAGCACTAACAATAGTGAAAGAAAACAAAATCAACTAAGTGAGAGAGAGAGATGGTTTGGTGTAAAGTGAGAAAATGTGTAATAAGAGAAGGAAGACATAATGAGAAGTGGATTTTGGTTTTGAAATATAGAAATATTGGCCAATTTTTATTCTCTAAATAACTATCATAAACTCACAAAAGCCCAAAAAAAAAAAAGATAAAACGTATATAATTGAGAATACAGATTTAAAATTTTGATTTATCCTAAAAAAAATGAGAGTGAGACAGACATACGGATCTTTCACTTTTAAATGTTAAAAATTACAAAAATTCTTGTTAGCAAAACTCAAAAAAAAAATGCAACAAATATATTAGAGAATATAAACTTAAAACCTTATTTTATAAAAAAAATACAGATAAAATAAATAAGACAAAACAGACATGGTTGATAAACCAGACAAATAATCTCTAATTAAAGTTTATCAATATCAATATTTATCATAAAACTTATCAATATATACTAGTGACTAATTTTTATTTTGAATTTCTTACTAAAGTGAAAGCTTTTGGAGCAAGGATCCTTAATTAGGTCTAAGGTAATGTGAAGTGGATGTATTTCCTTTTAAATGAATCATTTTGTTTGTTTACTTTTTTTAATAATTTTTTTTGTCATTCTCATATGCACTCTAATGTCATAAGAAACAGTGCATTCTGGATTGAGAAAGTCTTTTAGTCGCTATTCTTTAGTCCCCTAGAACAAGATATGCCAAAAATGGAAAAGGTGATTTAAGGTCTTATTCAATGGCAGGCAAAATCTGGATTCAGAATTGATTTTATATATGCTCATCAACTATTTTATATTTACATGAATGTGATTGTTTTTTCTACTTATTTGATGTGTGTGTATGGCATGGCATATAAACAAAAAAGAAAGGAAAAAAATAAAATAATTGCAATTCTAATTTTATTTAATTTTGTAATAATTGAATGTAACTAGTCCAATAGCTGTCATTGATGATGGAAACATGAATATAGATTTAATGATTCAATTTGTTACATCTAGATGGAAAACATGTTGATTATAAACATTTTACTATGAGTAAAGTATGATGTTACAGCCCCTGCACTTACTTTTTTTTTTTTGTATTAATTAGTAACAGCATGATGAAATTTGATTAATTTCCTATTTGAGTGTTTGTTCATATGTGCACTAGTATATTTACCTGTTTTGGTCAAAGATGTCGGAAGGAATTTTAGGGAAAATCAATTGAGTTTTCTCATTAAAATTTTCTGTTTTTGTTACATAAAAATGTCATGTGTTTATTTTATTTTCTTCATCAATAATAGATTAAATGCTTTCAGCGATACTTTATATTTTGACATTTGTAATATTGGACCATTTTTATTGTTTTTGTTTGGAAATATGAAACTATTTTTATGGGTATAATACTAAAAAAAAAATGGTAAGTTGTCAAGTTGCAAATGTAAATATTATGGGGTAGATTAAACACTTCACAAAAATGTTAGTCGCAATATATTACAATGAGAAAAACACGTCGCAAGTTAGTCAAGTATATTTCACTTCGCAAGGTTGACAGGTGAAATTCACCTCGTAACCCCTTTCTCAGAGTTCAGAGCAGAATACACACGTGTCTGATCAGAGCAAAGCGGGATAATTTCAGTGCAGAACAACCAAAAATTTTAAATTTGTCAAATGAAATATACCACACAAACTGTAAATAATATAGTAAAAAAATACATGATATATTTATATTATTATAAATATTAAAATGTATATTTATAATAACATAAATATAATAAATAGTTTAAATTCATAAATTAATTAAAAATGTTAAATTCATACTTAATTTTAAAAATTCATAATTAAATAAATTCATAATTAATTCAAAATATTTAAATTCATAATGATATATTCATTGATCCAATTCCTCGTCACTTTCGTTTTCTTCATCATTCTCATTCTCGTCTACCGCTCCTTGATTACCAATCGCTCCAACTCCGCCACCATCATACTGTTGTTGAAATATTTGTTGTATTTGTTGTTGCATTTGTTGTATTTGTTGTTGTGCACACAATATTTTCTCTTGTGAAATTTTCAATGCTTCTTCCAACTCAATTTGTTTTTTCTCATTTCTTTCGATTCAACATTTTTTGTAGCTTCACGTGCTACTTCACTTTGAGCTAACTATCGAATTGTTTCATCCATTTGAGAGATTAATGTTGGAGGACGTTGAGGACCCTTCTCCTTCTGCAATTCTCCTAAATAAGGAATACATATCCCCTTTTCTATAGTTAGAGGCTAAAGGTATGGTAACATAAATTTTTCCATTTTTTTCTTTCCCTTACTTGCTTTCATCCAAAATCAATAGCTGGACCAAGAGGATAATTCTCATATTGACCACCTAACTTAGAATATTGTGATAAAAATATTTTCTCCAGTCTTTGGTACTCCGTCTACACATACGTAAAAAATTAAATTAAATAATAGAGTTAAGCAATTTATTTAAATAAAATAATTAAATAATAATATTTAAATATTAATATCATCTTACTTGAGTACTTCTAGCATGTTCGTCACTATACTCTCCATCTTTCCTCCAATAAGTCCTCTCATGAAGCTTTTGCATTAATGGGGTTCTTCCTTTAGCATTAGTCTAGTTAAAACATATAACTTGAACTAAAACTATATCACAATTAAGAATATACTTTAGAAAAGTAGTGAGATGAAAATATAATTACCATCTGTTGAGCATGTTCAACAATACTAATGCTCCCCTTTCAGATGCTCTATGTTGCTTTGCTTTTTCAGATTTTTTCTTAAACTCATCTGATATCCAATAAACAAGGATTTCTTTAAATACATATTCGTCCATCCATGGAGACCTAATCCCTCTTTCTTTCCAACGAAGTCTGACACGCCTAAGCATGTTAGAAATTCAGATTATTGCTCTCTTTTTAAAATTACGCTCAACCGTCTCGTCATCTAGTGTGTGCCATACACACTTCTCCTGCAACATTGGAAAATTATTAGATAATTAAAACAAGATAGTTAGTAATTAAAGAGTTAATTGCTCAAAGAATTAATTGCTCAAAGAAAATATTATACTCGAAATTTGTCAAACCAAGATTGATACAATTGAGGATCTTTCTTCATAAGTTGTCTAAAAGTCTTCCAAGATTATTTATATAACTCTTGAATAACATCTTCTATACTTACTGCGGCAAGCCTACCTGACAAGAAACTAAACAATAATAATTTGAATAAGTATTAATACAATTTAAAAAATGCTAACATGTACATATGGTTAAAGTATAAGAAAGAAACTTACGAGTTTCCAACAGGCCTAATAATCCATCTTCCCTCAAACTTCTCATGTTAAACTTCCAACTCAGCCACATCCACATCCTCAATGTTCTCCTCCTCTTCCTCCCCCTCCTCATGATCAGGCAATATATGGTTATCCTGCTCCTGATGGGCTGGTGAGGGTACATGTGAGGTGCGTGAGTCCCTAGCATGATGGGATGACGAGGATCCACATGGGGGATGTGGGGGATGTGAGGTGCGTGAGCCTCTAGGGTGATGGGATGATGAGGATCCATGCTCACCCCTAAAGCATCATCAATCATGTCATCATGTAGATTAAATTGTTCTTCATATTCCATCTGTGATCGACTAATTGAACCCTATTGTAAATTACTAGTCTCTGACATATTCATCGATATTTCTTCCCCATTTGATGTCCAAACCCAATAATTATCCTTAAATATCTTTCTCTTCAAATGAGTTTCTACTTCTTCTGAATTACTTATTATACGTCTACATCCACCTTAAGACACGAACATCTTACTCCTCCTTCTTTCTGACAACATTCTTGATCAAATGCCCATGTATTAAATGCGTTAACTCCTTCCTCAAAATGTGATTTAAGTCCACGTCTTCTAGAATACATACTATCATACATCCAATTACGATAGTACTTATAATACTCCATACTACACGTTTACAATATCGTACCTGTATGACATTTAAATACATTTGTATTAAAAAAAAGTCAACTGTACACCGTAAAGTCAAACTTTGACTTTTTGATCAAATTTTAGTTTCAAAAATCATATTTCATCAAGACATTCAAAAAGTAAAATTTGATCATCAGAAATCAAGAAGGTTAAAAGTCATTTTGGAAAAACAAACTTTGCAAGGCTTAGAAATTTTTCTAAGAATTTGTATACTTGTTAATTTCATTGCCTCATGACATCTTTTCACTATAATTCAAAATAATTCAAGGTGTTACAAATAATTCAAGTTATTATAAGGTTGCATTTTTGCAAGATTACAAATCCTAAGCTTTGTCTTGTCTGAATTTTTCCCTTTGACTCAATGTCCAAACCTTGCCACTTTGTTGTCCATAAAAACCAGACTTGTATCATGCTACAAATGTTGTTGTCCAAGAAAGCCCAAAACCATGTCAAAAACAGTCTGCTGTACTGCTATAAAACAACCATACACCAAGCTGCCACAACACTCCAAAACTGCTGCAAAACAGCTCTGCTATGCTACCACTAACCCAATCCAAGTCCGCATTATCCCAGCCCCATATTTACACAGAATTAACACATAAGAGCTGCATCAAAAAGCAATGAAACAATATACCCAAACAATTCAAAAACTTATTTGTTTCCCTCCT